TTGAAGGGAGCCTCTGTGGCGCAGTGGTTTGAGCCTTGGACTATGACTCTGGAGTTCAGGGTTCGATTTTCTGCTCAGCCCTGGAAACCCAAGAAGGCTTGGGCAAGTCACACTCTCTCAGCCTCAATGGCAGTCCTCCTCTGGACAAATCTTGCCAAGAAAACCCCATGATAAGGCGCATAGCCACACTGTGGATTTGGGCAAGTCACACTCTCTTAGCCTCAGAGGATGTCCATGGCAAACCTCTAAGGAAATTTGCCAAAACCCCATGATAGGTTCACATTAGGGTTGCCATAAATAATAATAATAATAATAATAATAATAATAATTTCTTATACCCTGCCTTTTGCCTTGGCAATCAAGGCAGCTTACAAGTAAAAATACAGATTAAAAACATACATGCCATAAAACCGTAATACAATACCTCCCTTAAAGCTAAATATAATAATAAAAGCATAAAGATTAAAACAACATACATTCTGGGACACCAATAGGAGCGTATAACAAAGATGTATATTGGGAGAAGCACTGTTCACGTGGAGTAATCTATTCCGGGAAGGCCTGCCGGAAGAGCTCCATCTTGATAGCCTTTTTAAAGCTATTTATTTGACAGATCTCTTCCTGAAAGGCGTTCCACAGTCTGGGAGCGGCGGCAGAAAATGTCCTCTGGGAGGTTACTGCTAATCTAGTTTTTATCGGTTGCAGTAAATTCCTTCCAGAAGACTTGAGGGCGCGGGGCAGATTATATGGAAGAAGGCGATCCCTTACATAGGCTGGACCCAGGCCATGTTGAGCTTTAAAGGTCATCACCAACACCTTATACCAGGGATCGGCAAGGATTTTTTACCTGGGGCCGGTCGCTGGTCCCCAGGTCTTCCACCGGGCCAGGGGGGAGGGGAATGGCGGTGCGCGTGCGCAAACGAGTCACGGCCGCTATTTTGGTGGCGCCGGGGGTCGGCAGGGGTCGGTGGGCCGGGTGCGGCCCACAGGCCGTAGGTTGCCGACCCCTGCCTTATACTGTGCTCGGAAACCAATAGGCAGCCAGGGGAGAGATTTCAGAACAGGTGTAATACGATCAATTTTAGATTTCCCAGTGATCAACCTAGACGCCATGTTTTGTACTAATTGTAGTTTCCGGACTAGGTATAAGGGTAG